TTTAAGCGTCTGTTCTCAATACCAAAAGTCGCTAAAAACTTGAGGTGGCATGCAGAGGGAAGAAAGAAAAACAGAATGCTGAAGCATCCAGCTGACTCTCCACAGTGGAAGAACATTGATTTGAAGTTTGAGGAATTTGGTAATGAAGTCAGAAATTTAAGGCTTGGGTTGTGCACGGACGGGATGAATCCATTTGGCACTCTTGGTACCCAACACAGCACATGGCCGGTACTTTTAGTGATTTATAATTTGCCTCCTTGGCTATGCATGAAACGTAAGTATGTAATGCTTTCATTGCTAATAATTGGTCCTAAGAAACCTGGAAACGACATAGATGTTTAACCTTGCGCCGCTTATTGACGACTTGAGAAAGATGTGGGACGAAGGGGTTTTCGTTTTTGATGCTCATCAGAATGAGATGTTCACATTGCGTGCAGCCCTGATGTGGACCATGAATAACTTCCCTGCATATGGCAACTTGTGTGGGTACAAGGTTAAAGGGAAAAAAGCATGCCCCATATGTATTGATGACACATCAAGCGTATACCTGACTCATTCTCACAAAGATGTCTACCTACGGACTCGAAGGTTCCTTAGGCGTGATCACCCGTACCGTAGGCAGAAAAAGGATTTCGATGGAACCGTGGAAGAGGATACTGCGCCTAGACCATTGACTGGTGCTGAGATTAGTGCTCGGGTGAAAGGGATACGAACGGTGTTTGGAAAATCACAAAAAACTGTGGTCTCAGCTGCTCTGTTTAAGAAAGAATCAATCTTTTGGAAGCTTCCGTACTGGAGAGAACATGAAATTAGGCATTGTCTTGATGTGATGCATATATAGAAGAATGTGTGTGATGCTCTTTTGGGGACGCTTATGAATATCCCAGGCAAAACAAAGGACGAAAAGGGTGCACGGTTAGATTTGAAAGAGATGGGGATTCGTCCAGAATTGTGGCCTCGAGAAAAGGTTAGAAAGGGGAAGGAGCCGAGAATAGAAGATGAAAATATTTCGAAAAAAGGGAAGGAGAAGAGCAAGGGAAAGGGAAAGGCCAAAGATGCGTCAAAGAAGAAAGTTAAGGGTAAAGGGAAGGATGAAAAGAATTATTTACCCCCGGCTTGCTATACATTGTCAAGGGTAGAGAAACGTATGTTTTGTGCATGTATGTACGACATTAAGGTTCCATCAGGGTACTCATCTAACATGAAAAGATTTGTAACCTTAAATGGAGAATTGAAGCTGACAAGTATGAAATCCCATGATTGTCACATTATGATGCAAGTATTCCTACCGATTGCGATCCGTGGTATTCCACCAAAACACGTGAGGGAAGCGATTACAAGCCTTTGTTCATTTTTCAATACAATTTGTAGCAAAGTTCTTGATCCTTTTACACTAGATGCTTTGCAAGCAGATGTGGTTGTGACTTTGTGCAAATTTGAGATGCATTTCCCACCCTCATTTTTTGACATAATGGTTCATCTGGTTCTTTATTTGGTGCGTGAGATTAAGTTGTGCGGTCCAGTGTTCATGAGGTGGTGCTACCCTTTTGAAAGACACATGGGTACATTACAAGATAAAGTACGGAACCGGGCTCACCCTGAAGGAAGTATGATGCAAGGGACCGTGGGTGAGGAGATAGGTAACTTTGTGGCGGACTACATAGCCCTTGTTCAACCTATTGGTCTTCCTACTTCTCGACATGAAGGTAGACTTGATGGTCATGGCACAATTGGGTCGAAACGAATGTCACCAGACCGAGATCAGTTCTTACAAGCACACCTTTATGTGTTGCACCATGTTTCAGATGTGCACCCATATTTAGACGAGCACATGGCTAGTTTGCGTGACAAATTTCCATCCAAAGGTGAAAGGAAACTTATGCAGTTGCATAATAAGAGGTTTGTTGATTGGTTTCGTGATCGAGTAATGAGTGGATTGAATGATACTAATGTGATCGATACAGTACGCTGGCTTGCGTACGGTCCTAGGGATGATGTCCGTTCATTTGAGGGATATGACATCAATGGGTACACTTTTTGGACCGAGGGTCGTGATTTGAAATCTTCCTCCACCCAAAACAGTGGTGTAACTCTTGTGGCATCGTCAAGGGAGTTTGCAAGTTCTAAGGATAAATCACCTGTCGATGCAGAGTTGTCATACTATGGTTGAATTCAAGAAATATGGGAGCTTGATTATTGTGACTTCACGGTTGCTCTTTTCAAGTGTAAGTGGGTTGATAATATCAGGCGTAACGTCAAATATGAGGACTTTACTCTTGTAGATCTTGGCCACTTGAATGATAGTGCGGAACCATTTATCCTTGCATCTCAAGCTAAGCAAGTGTTCTACGTAACTGACCCAATGGATTCAAAATGGTCTATAGTGCTAGCTGGAAAAAGAAGAATCCTAGGCATTGGAGATGTTGAGGATGAGGAAGAATATGATGCGTTTGATGATTCAGCACCTTTCACTGTTCCTAGACCTGTTGTACTAAATGACATAGACAACGAAGCAGGTTATATGCGATCAGACCACAACGAAGGAATTTCAGATTGAGGTAGTTTGATTAAAAGTTAGTAATGGTTTCATTGCAAATATAGTTTAGTTATCATGTATATAGGAGCATAAGTAGGTGAAAATGACATATTTGTAATTTGAAATTGCCTAAATGTACTCATTATCATGCATATACAAGGTTATAGGACCATAAGTAGGTGAAAATGGCTTAAATAGCTTCTACTTAACCCAATTCTTTTGTTTTGTGTATGAACTAACATTTATTCATTCTAACAACCTATATTCAATATATTTAACATGTTTGTAGTTTGAAATTGCCTAAGTGTACTCATTATCATGCATATACAAGGTTATAGGACCATAAGTAGGTGAAAATGGCTTAAATAGCTTCTACTTAACCCAACTCCTTTTGTTTTGTGTATGAACTAACATTTATTCATTCTAACAACCTATATTCATTATATTTAACATGTTTGTAGATTGAAATTGCCATTTTGTACTCATTATCATGCATATACAAGGTTATAGGACCATAATAAGTAGGTGAAAATGGCTTAAATAGCTTCTACTTAAACATAATAACTATCATGCATATACTTTAGTATACACTAATATTGTTTTATGATTGCTTTGACAGGTGCTTATATCTCATGGCGGACGATCATGATCCTCATTGTGTAGAGGACATTGACGATGATGAGTATGAGGACGAGTACGAGGATAGGACGAGGACGATGATGATGAGCCTTATGATGTGAATAAGGAGGATGACTTGGGTGAGCCAGAGGATCAGGCTCAAGATGAGTTCGAGCGTAGGCTTGACGATTTTGAAATTTCAGCTGAGCGTGCACCGCCTATTGTAAATACAACACGTGAGATTGTTGGTGAGAACCTGAATCCTGAAAGTCAAGGTCAAGGACAAGATGAAAACAACACAGGTGGTGGAGGGGGGGAAAAGGCACCGGCTCAAAGAAAAAGAAGGGGTCCGACGAGAAGCTTTAAGAAACCGGACGGTCCCATGGTCTTGGAGTATGACAACAACGGCCAACCCGGGCCCAAATGGCGTCGACAATATGCTAATCAAGTTGGCATATGTTCGCGGAAAATCCCCATTACACTTGTAATGCGGCAAGTACCTCCGGGTCTGATTCAAACATTTTGGGATGATACAAGGGTAAGTGTGTTTTTGGCACATCTAGACAATTTAAGATACCTTAACCTTATGGTTGCTACTAAACAAAAACTAATAATCGGTTTTAATTTGTGCTTGCAGAGGCTGTTTTCTATTCCTAATGATCCTGAGAAGAGAAGGGTGTTTGAATCTTTATTAGCGGAAAGATTTAGAGGCTTTAAGACCAAGTTGACTAATGGGTGGATCTACAAGAATAAGAACAAATCAAAGAAGAAGAATGCTGATGAGGATGACCGTCTCCCGTGGCAAATATGGCCTACCGTGTCAAAAGATGATTGGGAAGAGTTCGTTAGAATGAAGACTCAAAAGAAAGCCATTGTAAGTTTGTGTAAATCTGATCTCAATTGAATAATAGCTTTACACTTTTTGTAGCAATGACACTAACATTTTTAGTTTTGTAGGAACTTCGAGAGCAAAATAAAAAGAATGCAGAAAAGAAGGAATACGTCCATCGTATGGGTCCTAAGACTTTTGGTGAAAAGAGACCTGAGTGGGTCGATTCGGGTTTATACCCTAAATCGCTTCTAGTGGCATCGAAGGAACCCTCTAGTTCCACGGTCACTACATTGGTGAGTCGGCCGGTGATTTCTTTTGTTCTCTCCATACGTTTGATAAGGAAACCGGAAAATGGGTCATCAAGGGTCCGGAAGCCAAAAAACAGGCGGATAAGCTTGTAAGTTACCTATGAATTGTTGAAGTTAAGTCACTTTTGCATCTAAATCACTGTACAAACCATTAACTGTTTTACTGACCTCATTTTTCCTTATGTTATAGCTTGAGCACACTCAAGAGATGGTGGAAGGCAAATTTGAACCAAGTGTGCAGAATGACCCTTTCACCATGGCTTTGGGAAGGCCATACCATCCAGGACGAGTAGTAGGTTCGGGAGGGTCATTGCTTGGATGGAATAAGGTGATGGGTCCCGAATACACAAAATCGGGTAGATCTCGAGCCAGTGTTAACTCACCGGGGGAGTTGGATGCCAAGGTGGCATCAATTAAGGAACAAGTACGCAACGAGTTAGTTGGTGAATTGAATGCTTGGGCGAAGCTGATGAACTTACCGCTTTGTCGTTCCTCACGAGTACCCCGGTCGACTCATGTTCTGAACTAAAAGGACAAGAAGAAGGTGATAGACATGGAGAAGATGAGATACGTGGTGAAGATGTGCCACCTGAGGTAAAATCAATTGGGTTATTAAAAGTTTTAAAATACCGAGTTAATTGAGATTTGAGGTGCAATGATTGATGTACTGTTGCAGGTTCCTACTCCTACACATGCGGACTTGAGGGAGCTTGAAAATCCAACACCGCATGAATTTCCAGAGTTACAGGTGATTTGTAACCCTCTACCTTAATGAATTTTGTTATATTATCTATGCTGTTGTAAAAGTCCTATTTAACTATCTTCTTTTTATATATATACTTGTCTAGGAAGACACCCGATGTGCACTTCTAGCCCCGGGGCATGCAAATAGTACAGCGTTGAGTTGGGTGGCATATGGTAGAGCCCAACTGACGACGGGTGCTACGGCGGGGCCACATCATTACTCGGTTGGGATCTATTCAGTGGTTGCGGGGTTCGAAGACATCCCACTACCCGTACCGATAGAGGAGGTTGAGATAACAACGCTTTGGCAAGCTGTAGGTAGCTTCGTTGATTGGCCACGTGCATGGGTGAAGTTGATTAAGGAGGTAAATTATTTATTTCTCAATTTTTGTAAGTGTTAAACCGTTAGGCACTCTTAAAATAAAACCGCCAAATATTTTTTTTTTGTTTACAATATGCAAGGTCCGCCAAGTTGATTTAAAATTGCTCAAATTTTTTTTTAAAAAAATATGCAAGTTCCACCGCCCCGGGACACCCGAGGGAGCCGCCCCCGCTGCCGGAACAGCGAAGGCGGCCCGCGCCGAGGCCACAGCAGCCCCGGCAGCCGCATGCCAAGGCTGTAGCAGCCACGGCAGGTGGCTGCCATGTCTGCTGCAGCCTCGACAACAGCCTGCCTGGGCTGGTGCAGCCTCGACAGACGGCTGCCATGGCTACTGCAGCCTCAGCAGCATCTGCTTGTGCTGCTACAGCCATGGCAGTCACCTGTCGAGGCAGAAGCAGCCCAGGCAGGCTGCTGCCGAGGCTGCAGCAGACATGGCAGCCACTTGTCGTGGCTGCTACAGCCTTGGCATGCGGCTGTCGGGGCTGTTGTGGCCTCGGCGCGGGCTGCCTTCGCTGTTCCGGCAGCGGGGGCGGCTCCCTCGGGTATCCTGGGGCGGCGGAACTTGCAAATATTAAAAAAAAAAAATTTTGAGCAATTTTAAATATATAAAGCCATTTTGAGCCGAAATGGCTTCTCACTTGCCTATTTTCTTCATTTCTCAACTTATAAACTCCTTGCATCTCAAAACAACACATAATGACATATTTATAAGTGGTTGTCATTTGAAATTACATAAAAATCGCCAAGTTCTAAAGTTTTGGGTCCAATTCATCAAAATAAAGCCATTTTGAGCCGAAATGGCTACTCACTTGCCTATTTTCTTCATTTCTCAACTAATAAACTTATACATTCTCAAACCATATCATAATTACATATGTATAAGTGATTGTGAGTTGAAATTGCATAAAAGAAGCAAAGTTCTAAGTTTTTTGGCGTATTTCATCAAAATAAAGCCATTTTGAGCCGAAATGGCTACTAACTTGCCTATTTTCTTCATTTCTCAACTTATAAACTCCTTGCATCTCAAAACAACTCAAATAACATATTTCTAAGTGTTTGTAATTTGAAATTACATAAAAATCGCCAAGTTCTAAGGTTTTGGGTCCAATTCATCAAAATCAAGGTCATTTGAGCCGAAATGGCTACTCACTTGCCTATTTTCTTCATTTCTCAACTAATAAACTTAAACATTCTCAAACCATATCATAATTACATATGTATAAGTTATTGTGAGTTGAAATTGCATAAAAAAACAAAGTTCTAAGTTTTTTGGTGCATTTCATCAAAATAAAGCCATTTTGAGCCGAAATGGCTACTCACTTGCCTATTTTCTTTCATTTCTCAACTTATAAACTCCTTGCATCTCAAAAAAACTCATAATGTCATATTTATAAGTGTTTTTAATTTGAAATTACATAAAAATCGCCAAGTTCTAAGGTTTTGGGTCCAATTCATCAAAATAAAGCCATTTTGAGCCGAAATGGCTACTCACTTGCCTATTTTCTTCATTTCTCAACTTAAAACTCCTTGCATCTCAAAAAAACTAAAATGACATATTTATAAATGTTTGTCATTTGAAATTACATAAAAATCGCCAAGTTCTAAGGTTTTGGGTCCAATTCATCAAAATAAAGCCATTTTGAGCCGAAATGGCTACTCACTTGCCTATTTTCTTCATTTCTCAACTAATAAACTTATACATTCTCAAACCATATAATAATTACATATGTATAAGTTATTGTGAGTTGAAATTGCATAAAAGAAGCAAAGTTCTAAGTTTTTTGGCGCATTTCATCAAAATAAAGCCATTTTGAGCCGAAATGGCTACTCACTTGCCTATTTTCATCATTTCTCAACTAATAAACTTATACATTCTCAAACCATATCATAATTACATATTTATTAGTGATTGTGTGTTGAAATTGCATAAAAAAGCAAAGTTCTAAAGTTTTTGTGGCCATTTCATCAAAATAAAGCCATTTTCTTCATTTCTCAACTTATAAAATTATTCTTTCTCAAACTATTTTAGATTTCGCATGGAAGCAAAACTTCAAAGAGAAAGAGGGTGGAGAAGCCTAAAAGAATTGATCAACCTAAGAAGAAGCTAAGTGAACAACGGTCCAAGAATGAACAAGCGTCGAAGTTGCACTCTTCGAAAGGTTCGCCCATGCCACCTACTCCACTTGTTGAAGACATTGTTCTTCAATCGCTCTTTGCTGACATGACCTTTCTTCACAACCGTTCTTGTCATTTGGTCGATCCCATGGAAGTTGCACTTCCTAAGACAATGTTCCACTATGATGAGGATGCAGTTGCATGGATCAGCAAAGAAGATATGAAGGAATTTCTACGTGGTGCAAAGCTTAACATTTCCCTCATTCAAACATTCATGAGGTACTTCAATGCCCACATAATCTATAATTTTTTCAAGTTATTCAAATTGATGGTGATTATCCTACATCTGATTAATTATTCAATGTTCATGCACGCAGAGCACTACAGGAGCACTTAACTGACACTGATTCTCCTTGTAAAGTTGGGTGGTTATGCCCCGAGCAGTTATCCACTACTAGAATCATAGGCAAACCTCATGATGTGTTGTACTATGTTGAACAGAGTATCAGGGAATCAGAGCGTGCGGGAGTCAAGTTCATATTCGCCCCATGTTATAGAGAGTAAGACTAACCATGTCAAATTCAATCGATTTGGCCTCATTATATGTTGACTCCTAAATATTAATTTTCTTGTCTATTTTGAACTTATGTAGGGAGCATTGGAGCCTCATGGTGATTTGTAATTCCACTAACACAATTTATCACCTTGATTCAGCTCGATCATCGGAGAAGTGGCTCGTGAAGTCTATATTGCAAAAGTAAATATATATAGCAACCTAGTGATGATTATTGCTAATAATAACTAATTTAGTAATCATACGACTAATCAAATTTGAATGTACTTTTTTTTTACTACAGTGTTATGAAGAAGCTACATTGTCGTGCTCCGAAGGATTCAACATGGAAGTCACCGTTGGTAATTTTGCTAATATTGTGATTATCTTGAAAATCTATGTTAGTAAATATTTTCTCATTTCCTTGCATGTTTCACTAATGTGATTTGTTTGTCATATGCTAGTGCGCACAACAAGAGAATGGACTTGATTGTGCTTTGTATGTGATGAGATTCATGCTTGACATTGTGACTCATTGTACGGACACTCAACAACTTGATGAGGTAAGTCCTAAAACTTATTGAAATGCTATATTGATGTGATTTCTAGCCTTAGACACCTAATATTACCCAATAATGACATGCTATGAGAAACAAAAATGCCATTTCACAAGAAAGGTAGAAAATGGGCTGAATAGAAGTCATATGGGCCATATTTGGCCATTTTGTGTTAATATGTTTTTTTGATGTGATTTCTTTCCTTATACACCTATAACTAGATAATATTGACATGTTATGACATAAATAAAGTTCATTTAATAAGAAATGTAGGAAATGGGCAAAGTAAAGTCATATAGGCCATATTCGGGCCATTTTGAGTAAAAAGCGTTATAAACCTTAATAAAATGCTCTCCTATACAATTTTAGGGCTTACACACATACAACTACCCAACATTAACATGTTATGAGAAAGAAATAGTTCATTTAATAAGTAATGTAGAAAATGGGCTACATAGAAGTCATATAGGTAATATTTGATAAAATACATATTGTTTTGCCTAATTAATTAATTTTAACATAATTTTTTTGTATTTCAAGTTTTGCAAGGTCCAAAAGGATGGTCCATTGACAATCAAGGAGCTTAATGAAGTTCGTGACATGTTGGCGTCTTTTATCACCTTCAACATGTAAATGACATTGTAACTGTAAATTATTTATGTTAACTTTTGAACTATATAACTTATTATTCATTATATATTTACTTACTATTATTTGTATATGTAAGCAACTTTTTTTTTTGTATTGCGTTTGGGAATATTTATATCTATATATATAATTGAATTCTTGTTTTTAATATTATTTTTGTATCTTATTGTAATAATTAATAATATTATTATTATTAGTTATTATAATAATAATATTGTAAATTATTATATTTAATATAATTGCTGGAATTACAGGTTATTATTATTGCTGGAAACAGGTTTTTTGTTTAAAATATTATTGCACGAAAATTGGGAAAAAAAAATTTGGTGAATAGGCACCGGTTAGGCACCAACCGGTGCCTAAAATAGCTACCACCAAAAAAAAATGGCGGGAGAGCAGTTAAAGGCACCGGTTAACCGGTGCCTAATTAGGCATACGACACCGGTTAACTGGTGCCTATTTGACCCTATGGCACCCCCCACATAGGCAGCTATTCAAACCGGTGCCTTCGACCGGGTTTGAACCGCTGCCAAAGCCCTTTTTTCACCTAGTGCATTAAGTCTAAAAGAAATGTTACGGATCCGTTAACTAAAGGCCTATGAAAAAAAAAAACTAGTTTTGGAAACATCGGAAGAGATGGGGCTAAAGCCCGTGGTATGAATTGTGAAATAGTGAACTCCTACTCACCATGAGTTCAAAGGGGAACATTATGTCATAATTCGGAAGCACATTTTTATTTTATTTGTCCATCTCTACATGTTTGTTTGTGCTTAGCTACAAATGAGAAGGAGGTTGAGCATAAGACTCTTAATGAACCCATATCCATATTTTGGAGGTGTGTTGTAGCTTACACTTGATGGAGTTCACCTACTTAGGTGTGGAAGTGTGGCCGCTTCCTATGAGTATTTTGTGGGCTTATACTCTATAGCACCTATGAGCATCCAGACTGGACGTATGGCCAGTATAATGCGTCACCTTTATTCGCGGAATTTCTAAATATTATACATGTTCAATTGTGTGGCTCAAAGTGACGGGTCCCTAACTCCCTATTGAGTTCAAGACGAAAGTCACTTGGTAGGTGAGAGATCATAGCTTGATGTCCACTATGTGTTAATTCAAGTCGCGAGACATTGACACTTATGCAATTGTTTTGTTTTTGCCCAAAAACCAATTTTCTTTCTTTCTTTTCACATCTTCGAACCTGTGGGGGATTGTTGGAAGTTCTTGAGTGAAACACAAATAAGGTGAGGAAATAATAGAGAGAGTCCCACTTTGATAATTTACCAAAGCTTCATGTCAATTATTCTTTGGAGTAGTTTTGCACTACTTGATTGAGAAGCGGTAATTGGGTTATGGGCTATTGTTATTGGAATATTTTGTATCTATTACAATATTCGTGGTCTATTCGCTTGAATTAAGTTGTTGAGAATCCATTCATAATTCGGGGGTTATGCTCATTCATAGTCGATATTAATTCCTAGCTGTTACCTCTTTGATTACCCATTTTATTAGGTTGTCAATGGCACATGATACTCCTCTTTATAAAAGTTGGCAATTTTCCTTTGTAATAGATGTTGGCCATTGCTTTCTTCTCTGATCTACGCACATCCTTGGCTTCCACAAGATACACAAAAAAAAAAATTAAGAAATATTATCATCTCCTCATAAAAATATCCCTTCGGTTTTTGGGCAAGTATTCTGGGTTCCAGTCAGGTTTGTGAGTGCACATAAACTCCGGCGCCGTGCTTATCCTGGAGGGCGACCGCTTCTAGTCTACTGCACTGGGAGGTAGCGCAAAATCGTCTTTTAGGTCAGTGGTTCTCCACGACGCGGCTATTATCAATTTGGTCTACACAACGCTGAGATAAGTATTTATCGTTTTATATTTGCTTATTTACTAACACCTAGTAGCCAAACAAGGTACTAAACGGTTAAGCAATATGACTCACTTGACTTAATACTATGTATTAATTAATTTTTATTTTAGATAATGCATCGATGGAGTTTTCAACCAAATTATTGACCTTAAATTTGGGCTAAACTACTCAAGAGTTAATCAAATAGCACGTACCTCCGTTCCTACGCATTATAATATAAAAGGAAAATACAACATCATGCACCTCTATAAAAATATGATCAGATATAAAATCACATAACTCCTCCAATATAATATGTTTATACTCAGGGTAAAAATGTTTTAAGAGTTTTAGAGCGTATTCTTTTTTTACTTTATGAATTTACATTTTAACATGGTGATGACTCATTTAGTATCAATCTAATTAAACAAACATAAATCATTCTAGCAATCAATATTTTCAAAATAATTCTTGAATAATTAATCACCATCAATAATTCAATGTTGAATAATTAAAATATGTTGTTGGAGAGAGTAGGTAATAATATAATTTTGTTATTACCTCTATTTCTTATTATTTGCGACAAAGGAATGTTTATATCTCACAAAGTCACAAATAATACCCCTTTGTTGCAAATTATAGAAAAAGGAGGCAGTATAATTTTCGTTAATATTTAATTATATTTTTTTTTATAGAAATTCATATTTAATTATATAAATATAAGGACAAATTAGTGCATTGTCATGTGAGTAAAGTTTGACCGTGTTAATTATTTTGAGACACATGGAATATAAGATAGTATTGGAAACTATAAATTATTCTTTGCATGTGAAAGATTATAAGATTATTGAAGATAAAACTCCAAAAAAGTAAAAAAATAGATTTATATCCTAAAAAACCTATCCGGTAACGCTCCCCTAATATCCAACGTGACGTTTTTATGCATAGCTGTCATTTATATGGCATGACATCAAATGTATCTATCTCATGACCTGGCTGCGAGACCTAACGTGGCTGTGAGACCCAATAGTGATATGATATGATATTAGATACGCAATACTACTAGTCAAAATGAACTCCGTAAGTTTGTATGTGATCTATGTTAAAGTTAAATGGTTATAAATTTTGTATTTCGTTAAAAAAAAAAAGCCAAAGTGTTGCATTTAAAAAGTTAGGGAGAGTTGATTAACTCTTAGCGCATTGCTAAACAAAATGGAAAATGTACCACTACGAGTCTGTTCACATTTACTTAATTTCATTTCAGTTCAGTTCCAATCAGTTCAGTTTAGTTTAGTTTAGTTCAGTTCAACTCCAATCAGTTCAGTTCAGCTCCTAATTTCCCTCTCTCATAAAATATTCAGTTCAGTTTAGTTCAGCTGCAATTAGTTCA